CAAGGGTGCTTTCTTGACTACCTGTTTTTTTGTGTGGGGTAGATTAATTTGTTCTGCCGTGTGTCCTAAAGGTGGTGATGTCGTTTGTTTGAATTTCCTAAGGTTATCCTCGGTTGTCTTTAGAGTTTGTGGATTGCGTGATACTATGTTTCACTAACAAGATTTGGACCAATTGTGACCATGGCTTTAAGTATTGGCTAGAGGGTGTCTAATAGTGTGGAAGCATTACTTCTGGTTTTGGTGTGTGTTTATTGGTTGGTCTGTTATCTGCTGTGCTGGTTTGGGGTCTGTTTACATTTTGGCCTTGTTTCTAGAAATTCCTCCATTCCGTGCCTTCATTGCTCTGAGTGTCCTTGCTAGGTGCAACAAGTGCGACTACATTGGATTATTTTTTTTGGGGGGGGGGAGAGAACAATGAACTTTACACTCCAGGTCAACATAAATTTAGAGAGGAAAGATCCTGTCTTTTGCAATTGCTAAACTACTATGACAAAATAATGGGAGCATTAAAAGAAAAGTAAAATGCAAATGTTGTGTTCATGGACTTTGCATTTGATAAGTGTGGCCATGGGGTGATAGCCCATAAAATGGGATCAAAAGGATTAATGGCTAAAGTAGGACATTGGATTTTAAATATTGTCACAGAAGGTAAAGAGTAACAGTCAAGCAAATAAAATAAAAGTCCAAGTGCAAAGAACAGCTGTGTTCCCCATGGCACAGTCCTTACACCACTGCTTCTTCTCATTCTCATAATATAGACAAAATACAAGGCATAGTTTCATGTTATCGTTTGCAGATCATACAACAATCAGCATGAATATTACTTCTGTAAAATACACTTGTATGTAGAATACACACAAACTGCAAGACAATATAAATAAAATCATCAGTTGGGCAACAGACAATAACATGTTTACCCCCTGTACTGTGCCCCTGTTTATAGCTGGAATCCCCCGGTGCTTATGAAAAATATCAGAAAAAATAAAATGTTTAAAATGCATTCCCTGATCAGAGAAAAAAAAAATACCTGTGACTTTGGCATGTCACAGCTACATACTTTTCCATGTGTAAAGAATGGAAATTTTTAGTCACAATTCATAAGCGTTCATGCAGCAATTGCTCCAGCCTTGCCACAGGGAGGGAGTTGCCGAAAAGATATTTTTAGATAAATATTTCATTCTCTGATTTTTCTCTGGTATTTTGCAGTAATAATATTCAATAGTGTCATTTGAGAAATTTATATAATAAAATGTGTGGAATATCGGATTGTTGAAATATATTTGGGATATGTGCATAATATGTGCTTTGAATAACAAGACAAGCTGCTGCTTGCTGTTATTACGCTATATATGCATGTCGTGTGCAATTCTACATTTGCATGGACCATTATGAGCTAAACGTTCTGGTGGGTATAATAATCTTGTAACAAGTTATCAAGAGACCTTGATAACTTGGTATATAGACCTTGATATATAGACAAGGTATATAGACCTTGCTCTGCATGTTTCGCATGAAATTGTAACTGCATGCATTGAAAATATACAGGGGTACCTCAGTTTTCGTAGTTAATCCATTCCCAGAGATGGTATGAAAACCGAAACTAATTTTCCCATAAGAAATAATGTAAATTGAATTATTCCGTTCCACACCCCCATATATATTGACTAAAAAATACATTTTATACAGATTAATACTCTTGGGTACCTTACCTTTATCGAAGACTCATGTTGGCATATAGAAGGCAGTGAGGGAGGGGGAGAGGTGTTAGTGTTTGAAAGGGGAGTCCCTTTCCATTATAACAGCAGTAATGACATTTCTGGGGTACACTCAAGTTTTGCAGGCATTCCACTAGGACCTGGTTGTGGTTCACTGCTCTCTTGTCCTACTAAGATCTGTATATAGACACTTGTTTTTCCTTATGTTTTAACACTTGCTGTAGTGAGACATCACATTTTCATTATGGATGATCTTGTTTTTCCTCTATCGTCATCCTCACAACTTTTTTCTTCGGTTGAACATTACCACTGACTTTCTTGGAACCCATGGCATGATACATAATAAGAACTTATGTTCAGAAACCAAAAAAGCACAAAAACAATGAAATTCTTCACAGTATTCATGAGCGATCATCACTAGGCGGGAGACACTGGTAAACTGAAGCTCCACGTTTGCGGTGAACCCGCACGTGTATGAACAAACTCCGAGCACCGAGGCAAACGAGTATCAAGTGAATTGATGCATTTGGCTGCAATATCTTTTTTTACCATAAAATGTATAGAAGATAAATGTGCAGATATATTCGTGTCACTAATATGAGTTCAGTATTATATTCTCTAAAACAATAAAATGTACTGTTTTTGCTGTTATTATTCAATATATACACACATGGTAATGAAAATCCAACCACAGTATACTGCCACATGCTACCAGCAGACGACACCCCCTGACTTGGCAAAATGCCTCATATACTATGCATATTGCTAACACTAGTCACAACACTATCAGAATTTTGGTCACTAAATCATGAATATGAATAATTTTTCACAAGCTTATTTTCTATAGGAACGTGAGATACCAGTTCTTTCTTAACCCTTGTATGGCGCCTGGCTATTTAGCATGTCACCCACAGGCGCATACCAAAAAAAAAAAATTTTTCTTCTAAACCTGTTAATTTGTCTTCACTGATCATGGGAAAAATAATAATAAAAAATCGTAAGTGGCATATATTGCCCACTATAGAGTGGGGAAGTCTGGCAAAAAACAGGCGCTGACTCAGCGTGCGTCCCAGACGGTCTGTTGCTCGCCAGCTGTCAGACCGGAGTTGCCACAGAGATAATTACCTAATTATTTCAATGTCTCTGATTTTTCGTAGTCTTTTTGCTGTAATATTATTCAATAGTGTGTAGTGTGATATATTTATATAATAAAATAGTGAATCATCGCTGTACTCAAAAATATGGTGTGCATATTGTTGATTCAATTATGTTCATCAAACAGTGAACAAATACTTTGTCGGTTATTACACTATACACAGGTTATATATAAGTATCTGCATGTTTTGTTCACCATAACAAACCACTAAGTTGCTATTATGAGTCAAAAAGTAACGAGGAGTGACCGCCACACACCAGCCAGCCATTCGCTACCACTCGCTCCCTCAACACTCGCCCACATTCTCCGCCCACCATACTGTTTTTTCTTTTATTCGCTTTTATATAGACGTTATATATAAGTATCTACATTCGTGTTCACCATAACAAACCACTAAGTTGGTATGCTGAGTGGCAGTGGCAGCCCACCACTGGCTGCCACTCCCTCCCTCACCTCACCTGACTTGCCACCATTCTCCTCCCACCATACTGTTTTTGCTTTTATATACAGAGGTTATATACAAGTATTTACATGTTTTGTTCACCATAACTGTACATCTAAGCTTGTATGGTGAGTAAAGGCACAAAGACGTAGCTACTCACACAGTCAGCTGGTGGTGGCCGCCCTCAAGGCCAGACGCACTAATATTTCTCCTCCAACAATACTGTTTGTGGTGTTATTGCGCTATATACACATAATATATATAAGTATCTACCTGTTTTATTCACCATACTTGTACAAGTAAACTGGTATGGTGCCCAAAGACCATAGTGGACACCAGTAAACAACATAAGTCGTGCAGACGACGCTCCTCCCTCACCAAAATGGCAGCTCCCAACCTACGCCTATTGCTGTTATTACACTCGATACACACGTTATATATAAGTATCTACATTTGTGTTCACCCAACCCGTTCTCGCAAATTTAATAAGTCAATATTGACTTATTAAATATGTGCATAGCTGACATACTTAACATAATAGATACCCTTAAAAAGATTCATAGAAAACCCCGACCTTACCTAACCTTGTTAGTATCTTAAGATAAGCATCTTATTGCTTCGTAATTACAATTATTACCTAACCTATAATAGGTATAGGTTAAGTAATAATTGTAATTATGAAGCAATAAGATGCTTATCTTAAGATACTAACAAGGTTAGGTAAGGTCGGTGTTTTCTATGAATCTTTTTAAGGGTATCTATTATGTTTAGTATATCACCTATGCACGTAGTTAATAAGTCAATATTGACTTTACGAATTTGCGAGAACGGGTTGGTTCACCATAGCGAACCACTAAGCTGGTATGGTGAGTGCAGTCAATAAAAGGTGGCCACACACAGTCAGAAGACAACGCCACCACCCTCCCTCTCACAGCATTACTCCTCCCTCCATGGAGTACAGCGCTAAAAATCACCACAACCCTGCTATTATCAGAATCCTGGTCAGTTTTATCAGTCAGGGGTCTTCTGTAATAATATCATCGCTAAATAATAGTAAGAACATGTGTATTATGGCATTTTTAGGCGATGCTGTGGTCACAAGCTGAACAGCAGTGCTGTGAGCTCATGCTGTGTGCGTCAGGCTTGGTAGCTCACTCGATACTGAGGCCCCACACACCCGGGAATTTGGCCCACGATTTAAAAAAAAAATGGCGTCTGTTTACAAGAGCCCTGATGGTGTGGTGAACCCCGTGTATCCGCGGACCGTTTAAATCTTGTGCGGGACTCCAAAACATCATATGATGCCAAGCTCAAGTTACTGCAAGTCACTCAACGCATCATATGATGTCTTGCGCAACTAAAGGGTTAATTGCCTGTCTAATGTCAAATTCTAAGTGATCCTTTCTATTCTTGAGTTCCAAACATACTTTGATTGTTTCCACTTTCCAATCCTCTATTACCTACTTCCATTTGAGTTGCCCATTAATTTTCTCTTGGAAATTCCTTGCCTAACTATTTTTTGGCTGGCCTGTTAGTTTCTCTTAATTCTTGTCCATATGTCATTTTGTTTATTTCTTCAAATTCATTCCCCTTCATTTTCCATGTTTCATTAACTCCCTGGGTGTCAGTATTGATGGGTATTAGTGTGTGTACTTTTGAAGTGTGTAATAATTTTTTTTTTTTCCAGAAGAGAGAATCAGCTTTGAGGTTTTCCTGCCTATTATGCAGACCATCTCACGCCAGAGACCAGTTGATACAGCTGATGATTTCATCGAGGGTCTTCGTCATTTTGATAAGGATGGAAATGGCTACATCTCTTCAGCAGAACTTCGCCATCTGATGACTCACTTGGGTTTGTAGATATATGATTATTCTGTCTGTATCTATAGGGCGGGCCATTGCCTTACTTCCTTCAGGGATTACCCAGCAGCAGCAGTTTCTCCAGGAGGTTATGTCAAATTTTTAATCTTCCAAGCTTTCTGACCCCTGGAATATACTCGGAATTGGTTCTAAGAGTTTTACTCCTCACTTTTATATATTGTACTAATGTTGCCTCCTAGATAGACTCAGTCTTGTAAAATATGATCCCCCCCCCCCCCCCATTCATCCCCTAGTAAACCCTTTTCATTACTTGATTCTAAGGCATCGAACTTAACATGCTTATACCACTTAGGTTTCACACACTTCACTAGTCCACATTTTGATGTCTTGCCCCTTTTTACTGATATGGCCATATTATTACTACAGTATATGTCCAAGGTACATAAGATAGTTTTCTCGCTTCTTGTGCTTGTACTCTAGAGCACTCCCCTTTCCATACCAAAATTTTACTTCCAAATGGATAGCTCTGGGGAGCCCCGTCGGCTCCCTGGGGCTATCCAGGCTGAATGGATATGTATAACTTTCTGGCATTGTATCAATGCCAGAGTAGAGGGAGGCTCAGACGGCATTGCAGGTTCTTTTGGGGTGGCAACTTTGAGCATCTCAAAGCTTGTTTGTTCGCTCCTGCCATTCCGCGGGATGTTGGTGTGATGCAGCTTCATGTGCAGGTTCCTTCCCTTTCGGCTGCCTTTGTTGCGGAGGATTTGCGTACACATGGCCTGCTTGGCTTTGCGTTTCTTTTCCCCCCCCTCCTTGAGCTGTCCTCAGATTGACCTGAGGTAGATGTGGAGGAGCTTGGTGCCACCTCTGGGTCTGGTGCATTGTCTGAATTGTTGTGGCTATTCGCGCCGCTCCTGCGGGATGCGTTTCACGTTTTTTTTCTTCTCGACTTGCGTGTCGGCAAGGGGTGCTTGCTTCTACTTTAGAATCCACTTGGGCCTTGGCTCTTTAGTTGTCTTTGCCTTTTTGTCCTCTGCTGTTTGCTGAGTCTGTTGTGGTGCAGTATCTACAGGCGGCTTAGACTACTTGCCGTCCTAAGTCCGACTTGTTAGTTCTCCGGGGGGCTCATTAGGGGCCTTCCCTGGAAGGGTTGTGGCAAGGCTTGAGGTTCTTCCCATCGTGGTAGGCCAGTGGTACCAGATTCGGGGCAGGCGCATCCTCTGGTTCTGTCTTTTTCTGGTCAGTGAGGGGATCGCCCTGTGAGCTGCTTAGGTTCTCGTATGGTGCATCGGCCCTTTCGCGGTTCATCTCATTGATGGGGCGATGGGGGGGTCTATTTCGCTCCGTTCGCTCGTGCCAGGTCCCACGCTTTGTGGGCCTTTTGGGTTGCTTTGTGCAGCCTGCGGTGTTATTGGGTGACTACTCCTTCGGGGGGGGGGGGGGGGGCTGGCAGGGCAGGCCTCTTCTCTTGCGCTCTGCCGAGTTGTCTCTAAGTGGGTTCACTTGGGCATGGTCAAAAAAAGACCTCGTCCCTTAGGTGGGTTTCCTGCCTGTTTCCAGTCCTGAAACGGGACTGCGCGGACCTCCGGTTCATTCTGGACTTGTCCTATCTGAACCCTGTGGGTTTATTGCCCTTCTTTTTGGATGACTACTGTCCCAGGTTTGTTTTCCGTTGGAGCCAGGTGCTTGGATGATGATTTTCCTCAAGGACCCATATTGCATGTCCCGGTTTATCCGAGGTTCAGGGACTGGCTCTGTTTTTTTGTGGGCCATCCAGGTTACCGCTTTCGTTGCCTTCTATTTGGCACGAATCTGGTGCCTTACGTTTTTACACACCTTACTCGGGGTCGTGGTGACCCACTTGCATCTGTTGAGTGTTTGGGTTCTGGCTTTCCTTGATGACTGGCTAGTTTAGGCCCCTAGCCAGTCTGTGTGCCTGCTCGCCAGGGATTTGGTTTTCCTGGCTCGCTGGGTTCAGGTTCTTGGTGAACTGGCTGGAGTCCCATCTGGTTTCCTCTTGAGTTCGGGCTTGGCTGGGTCTTGTGTGGGACACTTGGACCTCTTCCTTGTCTCTTGCTCCAGTGGCTCTGCTTCATCTACATCTGTTCCTGAGGGGCTCCAGAGTCACGTGGTGGTTGCTCGAGGATTTGTGCGGGAGCCCGAACTTTGCCATGATGGTCTACCCGCTGGGTCGGGTGTGCCTTCATCGGCTGTTCTGGTTCCTTCGGGGACGTCCCTTCCGCCTCAATTGCGACTGCTGGGTCCGGCCTCCGGGGGATAAAATTCCTCTGGAGAAAATTCAACCGACACAAGGCCTTGTGTCGGTTGCTGCATCGCCGGCTTCTTCGGGTATTTCGGGGTTCGGTGCCTTAGTGCCTTCCGGAGCCCTCGCTCGATGTGTTCATGGGCGCGTCGTCTTTTGGCTGGGGCTTTGTAATCGGTGCTCACTGGGCCGGGCAGGGTCAGTGGAATCCGTCCTTCCGTAGGGCTCACAGCGCTGTGTGGGAGTTTGCGGTTGCAACAACTGTGTGCTGTTGCAACCTTCCCCGACTGAGGTTGTCGGGGTCGCCGCCTTTGACTGGACTGGGCGAGGTGGGGTTACCTGTACCTCTTTCCCTGGTTCAGCTGTTGCTCCAGGTCCTGGCTAGCTTCCAGACTTACTTGGGAGGGGTGGAGGTGGTGTCTACCTCCTTGGTTTCGGGCGCTGCTTGCTTGGTGTCCTAACCCAAGAGACTTCCCGTGCCTCCGCCCCTTTCAGCAGATCGGTCCAGCCCGATACAAGGCTGGTTCGTTCTTCATCGAGTCGTCTCATCTGGAGTTTGACTCAAGTTGATCGTCACTTGTATGGGGCGTGGGTGGCTTCGTTGTTGGTCTCCCACCTGCGTGCTTCGTCTCTGCAGCAGTTTGAGTTTCCTGGCAGTCCTTTCGGTTTTTCCTATCCCTGCGTAAGTGTACTTCAGTCTCTGATAGGGTTGTCTTGTCCTTCCTTTCGTGGTTGCTCCTGGAGCGTCATCTGATGTCACATACTGTGGCCTCGTCTCATGCAGCACTGGCGGAGCCGCTCCAGCTTGCGTTTGGTGTTGATGTCCCTTCTGCCCCATTCCACAAGCTGTCTCGTGAGTTTTCACCCTTGCCCTGCTCATGCACCTCCTGAGCTGTCCTGGTCTTTGGACCGGGTGCTCTCGTCTTTTTTCTCCTCGGTTTGTGGTGGCCCCTTCAGTTCGGGTTCAGTTCAGAAAGGCCCATCTGGTTCCCTCCCAGATTCGGACCTAGCTGGGCCTTGTGTGGGACTCTCGGACCGCTTCCGTGTGTCTTTCTCCGGAGTCTCTTCTGCGGCTGCGGTCCCGCTTGTGCCAGTTTCTGGGGGGCTTTGGGTCACCCGGCGGTTGCTCGAGGGTCTGTGCGGGAGCCTGAACTTTGCGATGCTGGTCTACCTGCCGGGTCGGGTTTGGCTTTGTCGGTTGCTCTGGTTCCTTCGGGATATCCCTTCTGCCTCTCGCGATCGCTGGGTTCGGACCCCAGGGGCTTTGCGTCGGTTGCTGAGTTGCCGGCTTCCTCTTCAGGTTTTTCAGGGTTCAGTGCCTTGGCGCCTACCCGAGCCCTCACTCGATGTGTTCACTGACGCGTTGTCTCTCGGCTAGGGCTTTGTGACCAGTGCTCACCAGGCCGGCCAGGGACGGTGGGGTCCGTCCTTCTGTCGAGCCCACGGCACTATGTGGGAGTTCGTGGCGGTGTGGTTTGCTCTTCAGAGAATTTGAGTCGCCCGCGAGTCGACGATCCGGCTCCATTCGGACTGCTCCTCGGTGGTTCATTGTCTGAACCCAGGGGGTTCGATGCGGTCCTTGGCTCTTTGGCGCTGGTCGCTTCGCGTGACTTGTCTGCTGAGTTCTCGGGGTTTGGCTCTCCTGGCAGTTCAAGTGTGTGGAGTGTCCAACGTCTTGGCCGACGGCCAAGACTGTCTCGTTTCATTCCCTTCTCCACGGAATGGACGGTCGACGCTGACTCCTTCCATTGGCTTTGCCAGATGTTCGGACGCCCCGAGGTGGACCTCTTCTTGTCGGCGTGATTGAGACGCCTTCCCCTGTTTGTGGTGTCCTTTCCCGACTGCGAGGCCGTCGGGGTCGACGCCTTTTGGCAGGACTGGTCGAGGTGGGGGTTCCTGTACCTCTTTCCCCCAGTTCAGCTGTTGCTCCAGGTCCTGACTCGCATGGAGACTTACCCGGGGAAAGTTATCCTCTTGGCCCCTTGGTGGCCAGCCCAGCCGTGGTTTCAGGCGCTGCTAGCTCAGTGTCCGAACCCGGAAGTTTTTCTGCGGCTCTGCCTCTTCCAGCAGGTCGGACCGGTACGTCACGTGGATGGTTCGATCTTCTCGAGTCTTCGTGTATGGAGTTTTTGACTGGAGTTTATCATCTCTATGGTGATCGGGTGGCTTCCTTATTAGTGTCCCACCTGCGGGTTTCTTGTCGGCGGCAATATGAAGTTTCCTGGTGGTCCTTTCGGTTCTTCTTACGTCTTCGTCGTTGTACTTTGCTTTCTGTTAGGGTGGTGGTCTTTCTCTCTTGGTTGTTCAAGGACCGTCTCCTTATGCCTAACACTGTTGCCTCGTATCGTGTGGCGCTGGCGGAGCTGCTTCAGCTTGCTTTCGGTGTTGTCACGTCTGCTCCATTTCACAAGCTGTCTTAGGTGTTGTTTCACCTCCGGCCTGCTCATGCGCCGCCCGAGCTGTCCTGGTCATTGGACAATGCTCTTTTCTTTCTTCTCCTCGTTTTGTTGTGGCTCCTTCGGTTCCGGATTGTTTTTCGAAGGCTCTCTACCTGTTGGCATTGGCCTCTGGGGGTCGGGTAAGTGAGCTTCATGCTCTCCTCCAGCGCAGAGGTTTCTGCTCCTTCAGTCGGGGTGATCGGTTTGTTCGTCTGCAGCCTTCTCCTATTCTGGCGAAGAATGAGTGTGCTGCTTTCCGGAGGGGTCCCTAGGTTGTTGATGCTTGGTTGGTTCGGCCGGGGGTGCATCATGTTTTGTGTCCGGTTGCGG